TTAATATATTTATAAGGATTTGTACGGTATTGATTTTAAGTACTATCCATACAATGTCACATTTTACTACTATTGCTTTAACGCGTATTAAAAAAAAAAAATAAAATAAAATTCATATGAAGTATAATAATTTTTTCCTATTTCACAATTTGCAGTACAATTTAAATATGGCAGTACTTAGTAAAATCGGAGGATGGGTAGACCACGCATTCGATTATAGTACTCAACACGCTTGCACAACTTTAAAAACATTTTTGGGACCGTCCTGGTCTAATTTAATGAAAAGTATGAATACAAGTGCAACTAAACAGTGTCCACTAGACAAAGTATGTAACAAAATAATTATAAAGTTTTTTTTCTTATTTTATATTGTTTTCATAGAATAACCTATGTATACCAACGATAGTCAAAAAGATAGTATTAATATATGTCTTATATAAGTTTTTTACTGAATCCAAATCCGTTCACATTTCTTTTAGGCAAACATTTGTAATAATTTGTTTTCGAACAACCCCCAAAAATACACCAGTAGATATTGTAATAGCAAATATTTGTTTTTCAGGGTGAGTACATTGTGCGTGGATATGATTTAACAGAAGTGGTAAATTATCATATCCCGAAAGAGTTCTTTTACGGAACATATAAAGTTCGATTATACTACACGGATAATACCGGGATGATCGTTGGTTGTCAAATTGTAGTTGTAGAAATTGTAAGACCATGGGAATACGATTACTAAATGCAATTTTCAAATTTAGGCTGAGCATCAAAACATAGGCACTATTGATCATTATTATCAACACATTGCACTATGTAATAATGGTGGATGGATATAAAGTGCAAAAAGAGTAACACAATAAATCAACCTCAGTAAATAAAAATAAAAATATTTTATTTATGTGTACTGGAAATAATAAATTTCCAAATTTATCTGTTCAAATTAATTTACATGAATTGTAAAAATAATATTCAATTAATAAATTACTGATATAACACTTTGACTGTAAGTTTTTCTTACCTTATGAACTTTAATTCTCGTCATTATTATTTATCAACTACTACTGATAGTTATAAATTATTAAAGGACAATACAAAATGTTTGATATTTATAGGTTATTGTTTTTGTTTTTAACTGATTGTCCAAACCAGGCGAGCTCAAAAACATGGTAAAATCATAGATCTATTAGTTTACTACCTACGTTAGGTAAACTATTCGAAAAAGTGCTTCTAAAAATAATTCAACCTATTTTTCAATAAAATTATATAACACTAAACACACAGATTGGGTTTAGAGCAAAACATTCAACAATCTTTTAGGTACACCGACTGACCGACACTGTTGTTTCGGAGTTATAAAACAAACAATACTGCACCGGACTGTTTCTAGATGTCGCCCAGGCATTTTATCGTGTCTGGAACATTGGTTTGCTCAACTAATTAAAAGAACAGTACAGTGGGGTCGGGGTATAGTGGGGATGGAGCATAGAGGGGACGGCAAGGTCACAGGTTTACAGGAATTTTTAAATCTGAAAGTGATAAAATCACTTTCGAATAAACGCTTCGATGCAAATTAGTAGTTAGTATTTTCAAGCCAGTACAGTCCAAACCAAGCACGGTGTAATCCAGCAAAATAAAAAAACATTAAATTGAGGATTTGTATTTACAAATAAGCATCAAAGCGTTAATTTGAAAGGGACTTTTTTCTGGGAGGCCTTGTACAGTAGATTATAGGCATAATTTAATCAAAGCATAGATGGGACGGAGAGGTCCCAGGTCGACAGGAATTAGTATAAAAAAACATGATAATAGGGAATAAAACTGAATCTCAAAACTTAACTTAAATTCAAACCCCCTAATAAAACGCATGTGCACTACCAACCCCACACGCAGACTCAAACCTAACTGGAATCGTGACCTAATAAAATAAAATTAAAACTTACTTCTAATGAGGTTTTACCAATGGGCGGCTTCCTTTCATGTTAATTATTCAAGCTATGTACATATCCTCGAAAAAAGAAAAACTTATTGTAAATATTGTACAGATTGTTTTGTTAATATAGAGAATAAACAAAAAAACTGTATGTATTTATTTAATACTATTGAATAATTTTTTAATTTAAATAATGTTATAGAGAAATGTATATTTCTAGAAGCTCACTTAGTCGTATCAGAATTTAGAAGGTACAACCCCATTAAGGTACTTAAAGCAAAAATTTAGCACAAAACAAATTATAAGTTAGCATATTAGTGTGCTGTTCGTGTAGTACCCGAGTATTGTTTTGAGACAAATGAATTAATTGAAATCAATACATAATTGTATTAGGAGATGAACCCAGAACTATTATGAGCACCTGTATGCGTGTATTTAAATCTATGTTAGTTACATGTCACACAATATTAACAACAGTAATGGAAATAAGTTATAAAACCGAAAATAGCCAACGAAACGATGCGGCATATACGGTTGGTTCATTAGGGTTAGTCCAATTGTGAAAAAAAAAATTATTATAACATTTTAATATTATTCTTACATTCATTTGATTATTATTGTTCTTATTTATCTTTTTATAAATGCTATTCTTGTAAACATTTTTTGTCATTATTTTTTTAAATAAATTGTTAACTAATTTAAAATTTTATATATATCAATGTATTATTGTTTCTGTTCTATTTGCATTTTGAGCGTTAAATAATAAGAAACCAATTTTCTCTTAACATATTTGCAATTTAATAGTTTGAATTATTGAAGACACTTACATATTTGTTATTTTATAATAATTAATTTATTTTCGTTATTTTCCAATGAAAATGATATATGAAATAACTTTTGTTCTAGTGAATATTTTTAAAAATACATTTTTAAATTAATTTATACTCATATGCGCTACAAGACAACAACAATGTTCTTAAAGGCAGTGATGATGTATCAATATTATTACCGGTGCACATTTTTATGCTGTGTTTTTGTACTTAAGCAGTATAATAATATTGTTATGGTCGTGTGCGTTGTAATTGATATTGATCGAGTCATTCGGGCCCTACTAAACGGTGTGCAAGCGTCATTTAAATAAATCCATTTTGAATTTAAATATTACAACCGAATTGGGCTGCATTTAAGAAATCGCAATAAATTACTTAGGTATACAGTAGCTGATGTAATAATATAACGCATTACCTCCAACATCGACGTTTAAAGTACACGACCTAAAAAGGTTTATGTGAAGATTTTTAATATTATTAATACTTATTTTAATTTAATTGCCAATGGTCTCCAGTTTCATACCATGATCTAAACACTCGTCCACCCATTGTTTGAGTATGACCTCATGAAAAAAACATGTTTAAGACAACAACAAAAAAACTAATTAAAATTATAAAACCGAAAAAGTTTGGTCAAAAATATTAACGAAGCATCGCCGTCAAGTCACTTTTCACTACCATTGCTTTAGTTCATACAAATAACTTTAATTGTTTACTATTTTATTATTTGTAGTTAAATCTCAATATGACAGAGTTTAGTAAAATCGGAGGATGGGTACACAACGTATTCGTTTATAGTGCTAAAAACGCTTGCAGAACTTTAAAAACTTTTGTGGCGCAGTCCTGGAATAGTTATAGGAGAAGTTGGAATTTGAGTGCAACTCAACAGTGTCTAATAAACAAAGTATGAAACAAAATAGTTGTCCAGTATTTTTTTTATTTTATACTAATGTATACTAATGACAGACAAATAGATAGTTTTAATAGACCCATTAAAAGTTATTTTAATTGCAAATATAAATTTTACAGGGTAAATACGTTTTACGATTTGATTTATCAGAAATGAAAAATATGCATTCCCCTAAATACGGGACTTATAAAACTCGATTATTCTACATTGATAAAACCGGAATGATCGTCGGTTGTGTGATTTTAATTATGGAGATTGTAACACCATGGGAATACGATTGCAAAATGCAATTTTAGATTCAGGCTCAGCCACATTTAACATATGCACTATTTATTGTGTTCATATCAACACATTGCACTCTGAAATAATGGTGGATGAAAATAAAGTTCAAAGTTAAAAGTTGAAAAAAAAGTATATAATAATATAAAACGAAAATATTGAATACTTTACATTAAAACCGTAGTTTAAAATGCAGAGACCATTTGAGGTTCAATTTTAATACAATTCAATTTAGAACATTTTTTTACACATTTCCAACGATGACAATAAAACACTAATGCACTTATTTGTAAGCAAACTAAATTTGAAAAAAAGTATATTTGTCTTACAACAGATTGTAAAAATAATTTTAGGCCAATACAGAACTTTCATTTTTAATGTGTTTATTTCAAACTGATTAAGTGTTACCTAACCTAACTGATCCTAACCTTTATTTACTGATTATTAATCAAATTATTTTCATGTACACAGAATTATAAGAAATATTAATAAAAATACAAATATTAATTTAAAATAGAAAAGTTTTTATTTTTATTTTAACTTTGTTAACATTTAATAGCCATGATGTTGTATCAGAAAAAACCCTGCCCATCTTATCAACATGAATCAAATAAAAATAAATAATTTATTATGTTGTATCCAAGGTCAAAGTAGCATTAAATAAAAATGTATTGTTACAGCAATCTGTTTAAGTCTTTAGAAATTGTTGTTGTTTCCTAGAACCGCTAGAGGCAAACTAAATAGTAATGATGTACTTAATTCACAAATTATTCGTGTAAAATATGTGGTGGTAAGTTACAAAAAAAAAATGAAGGTTATTCCTTTTGTTAAACTTTAGTAATTTTGTTATTACTAATTTAACTGTGTAAATAACCGTTGAAAATTGTTTTTATTTTCTATAAATTAAGGTGCAAATTAATACGACAAGTACAAAGTATTTGCTATTCCAAAATATTTTGTTTTTTAGGCTGGTCGTCTGTTACAGGAAAAAATGAAGATAATTGTTATATTTTGGTTGTTGTCCTTAATACCGAATTTCCATTGCCTTACCATGGAGAGAGTCTTACGACCAAATTTACCAGTGGTAAGTGTATTTAGATGTAAACTTGTAATTAAATATAGAAAATACTGTTTCATTATTACACATCATCAATACGCAAAATTTTAGGGTCCATACCGAATAAAATTCAAAGCTGTTTTTATTTGCGATGAAAAAGTCGACTATTTGATACGCTTGAATATTCATCAGCATAAAGTTTCTCAAACCCGAGTGGAAATGAGAGGAAATATCTCATTGAAAATACCCTTTGACGATTCCTTAAATGTAAGTATGTCGTTGAAAATAGTTTACTTAATACTCTATTTGATATGATGTTTTGGTCTTTATTTGTAATGTGGTCGATGTGAATCTCTAGATAAAATGTACATTATGTTAGGTTTATTTTACTAGAATAAAATATTACTGCACACAGCACGATTATTGAAATTCTAATTGAGTAAGATGAAATATAATTCGGTAGAACTGCATTTTTGCGCTTTAGCTTATTAAATGAATTTTTTTAAAAATATTTATAGGGATTAGTACTATATTTAATTAAAATACTAGTTGATTAAAATTGTTACTGTTTGAAATCAATGAAGTCGAAGTGTTCTCTGCTGTAGCTAAGCGTTATGTTATTAGGGTAGCAATTATACTTTTATTACATGGGTGTGAACGATATAGGTGGAAAGGCTATTTATCCAAATAAATAATTGCGTTGTTATTGATAGGCAAATCCACGACACAATACAAATATTTTTAAGACACCAAATGAATGTTAACTGAAATGTACCGTCAAACAGGCCAACTTGGGGCATATGTGTAAAACAATTAACATTAAAATATAATATATATGACCAATGCCCCAAATTACCCATATAGCCCCATGTTGGCTAGTTTTGACGGTAATAAAAATCTTTATATGTATCACTTATTTGTCGGTTAAGAAAAAAATGTCAAATATCTATTATATTAAAAACATAGGTACTAAGTATATAACTTGACCTATTTTTCGGGGGTTACCGTTTATAAAAAAAAATATTAAAGAAATGTATAAGTTACTGCGCCACTATGAGGCTACCTTCAGTTTAATTCTTAGACTTAAACATCTAATCATAAATTCCAACCCTAAAAAAGCAAATTTAATCAAAAGTGTCTACTAATCCCGTGTGTATGAGTTTATGACTTATTTTATTTATTTTTTTAAAATTACAAATTACAGTTCAATTTTAATATGGCAGTACTTAGTAAAATCGGAGGATGGGTAGACCACGCATTCGATTATAGTACTCAACACGCTTGCACAACTTTAAAAACATTTATGGGGCCGGCCTGGTCTAATTTTATGAGAGGCTGGAATATAAGTGCAACTCAACAGTGTCCACTAGACAAAGTATGTAACAAAATAATTATCAAGAATTATTTTAATTTTATAACTTAGAATAACCTATGTACCAACGACAGACGAAGAGATAGTTTAAATAGATGTATCAAATAAGTTTTTTACTGAATCCAAATCAGTTCAACCACTAGTTATTTTAATTAATAATATTTATTTTACAGGGTGAGTACATTATGCGATATGATTTATCAGACGTGAACAACTATCATATCCCTAAAGAGTTCATATACGGAACTTATAAAACTCGACTATACTACACTGATAAAAATGGAATGATCGTCGGTTGTACAATTTCGGTTGTGGATATTGTAAGACCATGGGAGTAAGAATACTAAACGAAATTTTAAGATTCAGGCTTAGCCACTTTTAACATATGCACTATTAACTGTGTTCATATCAACACATTGTACTCTGAAATAATGGTGGATGAAAATAAAGTGTAAGATGGGCAACGCATTAAATCAATCAAATACAGTAAATAAAATTATTAAATTTATCTGTATAAGGTAATTTACACGAATAATTGTAAAAGTAATATGCAATTAATAAACTACTGACATAACATACAGATTGTAATATTTGTTTTTCTTATCAGAGCCCCTTCCAAACCTCGATAGATATAAATTATTGTATTGGACTGTTCAAAATGTGATAAAATAATAAAAAAGACTCGCATTATTGTCGTGGATATTCCACTTTGGTGAATTGCTTTCTGTGCTTTATTATACAGTGCTGGAATCTTACTATTTCCAGATTCTTGTGGTAACGTTTGATTGTGATGAAATCTTTGCTAACTTTTTCTGTACTGATGTCTGTAACTGATAATACTATACTAGATTTAGATTGTGTTGATCTATACGGTTTTGGCTTAACTGTGCCAGATTTTACTGATCTAATTGTCTATTTTTTTCATAGCTAGTTAAATTTTACTACATAGGATTTAAATGATAATATTAAACGAAAAAATTGAATACTTTTTTTAGTATTGTAAAACTTAAAAAAATTAACAATGTATAATAATTAATAATTATAATATTACACAATAGAGTTATTTCACTTTAGTGTTTAACTTTAAAATCCAACCAATAACACTATTCTAACTCAAATCGACCAAATGCAAAAAAAAAAATATTGATATTTTAAGAACAAATTTAATGTACAACATTATAGTTTGCTAATAAATTATCCAAACAGTCCACCATAAATAAGCATAAGTATACCGATAAAATAAATATGTAAACAAAGCGCTATAAACATGGTATTTTTGCAAAAAAACGATCACGTGCTTAACGAACCAACAAGGAAATTTTATTGCGGAAGGTCAACCAATGGAAACCGGCAGTACCAATTTCATTTTATACTTAATGTTTTGCTAATTTGGTACACCGTGTGCGGATGAAAAAAAAACAAATTAAACTAACAGCTTCTTGCTATTGCATTCAATATAAAAGTCTAGATTCTACTCTATCAGCTTATGTTAGACCTATATTTAGACTAATTTTCAGCTGGTAAATCCTAAAAATTAAAAATCCAGTAAAGTATAGGCATAACGGGATCAAGGCAACTAGGGGACGGAGAGTTCACAGGTCTACAGGAATTATTATAAAAAAAAATGATAATAAAGAATAAAACTGAATCTAGTACTATAAGTATTCAATGTTTAATAAGTAACGCCTAAATAGTGTAAACATATGTTCAACAGGGTATTTACATTCCACAATTTCTACGATCAAAAGAATATTAAATAGTTTTGTGTGTAATGTTATAATTAGTAGTTTTAGATTCAAAATTTTTACCAATCTCGCCTTTATAATATAATACTAATGATGTTGTAACAAAATAATCCATCTCTACGTATGATTGACTTACCATTAACTTCAGCCAAATTATAGGATACATTATGTTATTATATCCAGGGACGGAATGCTATTATACAAAAAATACAAATTACAGTACAACAATGTTGTTGTAAAAACGCAAAATTCAATTTTTTTTTTTAATTTCTATTGTTTTTAACTATACATTTTTTTTTGTGACATTTCAATTGTGTAAAGATCTGATAGAGTTGTATAGATTTCCTGTAACTTGAGGGCAAAATAACTCTATATAAGTAGTAAGTATTTACTAAACCTATCTTGTTTCTGGTTTAGCCTGGTTGTCTGTTACAGTAAAAATGAATATTTCTCGTTTTGTTACACTTTGATTATTGTTGTTAATACCAAATTTCCATTGCTTTACCACGCAGAGAGTTTTACGACCAAATTTGCCAGTAGTAAGTGTATTCGGATATAAACTTGTAACTTGTAATAAATTTTGACGTAACAAAAATAATTTTAGGCCAATACAGAACTGTCATATTTTATTGTGTTTATTTCAAACTGATTACGCCTCTCCTAACCTAACTGATCCTAACTTGTATTTACTGATTATTAATCAAATTATTTTCATGTACACAGAGTTATAAGAAATATAAATAATGTTGCAAATATTAATTTAAAATAGAAAATTCTTTTATTTTTATATTAACTTTGTTAAAATTTAGTAACCATGATGTTGTAACAAAAAAAGTAACTCCCCATCTTATCGACATGAATCAATTAAAAATAAATAAATTATTATGTCGTATTCAGGGTCAAAGTAGCATTAAATAATAATGTATTGTTACAGCAATCTGTTTAAGTCTTTAGAAATTTAGAAACTGTTGTTGTTTCCCAGAACCGCTAAGGACAAATTAAATAGTAATGATGTACTTAATTCATAAATTATTCGTGTTAAAAATGTGATGGTATGTTACAAAAAAAAAAAAAATGAAGGTTATTTGTTTTGTTAAACTTTAGTAATTTTGTTATTACTAATTTAACTGTGTAAATAACCGTTGAAAATTGTTTTTATTTTCTATAAATTAAGGTACAAATTAATACGACAAGTACAAAGTATTTGCTATTCCAAAATATTTTGTTTTTTAGGCTGGTCGTCTGTTACAGGAAAAAATGAAGATAATTGTTATATTTTGGTTGTTGTCCTTAATACCGAATTTCCATTGCCTTACCATGGAGAGAGTCTTACGACCAAATTTACCAGTGGTAAGTGTATTTAGATGTAAACTTGTAATTAAATATAGAAAATACTGTTTCATTATTACACATCATCAATACGCAAAATTTTAGGGTCCATACCGAATAAAATTCAAAGCTGTTTTTATTTGCGATGAAAAAGTCGACTATTTGATACGCTTGAATATTCATCAGCATAAAGTTTCTCAAACCCGAGTGGAAATGAGAGGAAATGTCTCATTGAAAATACCCTTTGACGATTCCTTAAATGTAAGTATGTCGTTGAAAATAGTTTACTTAATACTCCATTTGATATGATGTTTTGGTCTTTATTTGTGATGTGGTCGATGTGAATCTCTAGATAAAATGTACATTATGTTAGGTTTATTTTACTAGAATAAAATATTACTGCACACAGCACGATTATTGAAATTCTAATTGAGTAAGATGAAATATAATTCGGTAGAACTGCATTTTTGCGCTTTAGCTTATTAAATGAATTGTTTTAAAAATATTTATAGGGATTAGTACTATATTTAATTCAAATACTAGTTGATTAAAATTGTTACTGTTTGAAATCAATGAAGTCGAAGTGTTCTCTGCTGTAGCTAAGCGTTATGTTATTAGGGTAGCAATTATACTTTTATTACTTGGGTGTGAACGATATAGGTAGAAAGGCTATTTATCCAAATAAATAATTGCGTTGTTATTGATAGGCAAATCAACGACACAATACAAATATTTTTAAGACACCAAATGAATGTTAACTGAAATGTACCATCAAACAGGCCAACTTGGGGCATATGTGTAAAAAAATTAACATTAAAATA